AGGACAAAGGACATGTATAATATTTACAAGTTATAATGAGATTAAAAAAAAGAGAGTCGACTGTTATGCTGAGATTTGCTGGCACGAGTTTTGTGTTTTTCAGGTTTGCGAGCATTTTTTTTGCCTGTATTTGTATAGCACTTTTAAAAGAGTTCCTGCTTTGAGCTTGTACCAGAGATGAGAGCACACATGAAGCATGTCACTGGACACTGCAAATGTTAATGTAATGGTGGATAAACAATCCAATTATTAATCAACCTGAGAACTGATTAATATTGGGTTGGAAAATTCTCATAAACAGCAGTTCCTCTAGTGGCCACACTGGAGGATGGCTCCGAAAGTGATTCAGTCCCAACAGACAGACTCTAGTGTCAAAATGTCAGGCTAAATAGGATTAAAAGACATGTTTAAAACCAGGTACAAAACTACAATAGTTGCCCCCTTCCTAACAGTTTTACTGTTAAAAAATTGGCTATATGATCTATCTATGTGGATATTAATAAAGGCCTAAAGTTAGGGGTGTGGTGGCTTTGACTGAGCTGTATGCAAACACAGAGCTTTCTGTTTAAGACTGATTGCTGCTTACTGAGCTGTGAGCTGTGCCAACTATAAGCTACAACAAGAGCAACAGAGCGCAAGGGTCAACTTTGACCTTACGCTCAAACAAAGAAGGTCAAGGTAAAATGCTTAGTCATCCTAGTTGCTCATGTCCTCCAAGGCCTATTGTAGTGAAGTTCTGTTCACCAAAATGAAATCGGCTAGAGCTGTTATTGGTATCAACCATCACACAAAATTTGAAAATGATATTGAAAACTAACATCTTGCTAAGAAACAGAAAGACAGGCAGACAAACAAACAAATGGAACTCATTACATTGTCTTTACCTTTGGAGGAAGAATGAAACTAATGTTTATGTAGTTTTACTTTGAAGTCAGCAATGAATGAAAATGAAGTTTTGTGCATTTTATGTTCAATATAGGTATTTGTTGTGCCTGAAAATGAACAAATAAATGAAATGAATGAAATGAAATGAATGAATCTGTTGAACGATGCAGCCAAAGGCCTGGTAAATTCTTAGCAAATGAGCAAAATGATGCCTTTGGCCACCTTGTGCTCTTTAAGAGGAGCTTTATTTTGGCTTCATAATGTATACTTCAGTATGAGTCCATTTTACATGCATCTGAATGGTCGTCCACTGGAAGTCCCAGGCTTTTCTAACCCAAGTCAGCCAAGTGGAAGCTAAATCGGCTAATCTTTTAGCATCAATTCATATGTAAATTAGGTTGTTACTTGAGAAGTGGGGGAGTGGGGGTGTGTGAATGATTGCTGATTTCTAACTGCCAACTGCCTCTTTGTTAGTGTGTGGGGGTGGGGAGCTGCTAAAAGCTGTGAACTTCCTTTTGTGTTGAGGTCAATGAAATTGTCATCTTGCGGGGTTTACTAGGGTTCCATCACTACATGACTGCTGGTCAGCAAACCTGGGAAACCCACAGTATACACCCATGTGTGTTGATTTCTCCCTAAGATGGCAAACTGAAATGTACTCACTTTTTATTATTATTTGTAATAAGCTTGCAAGAGAGTTGGCTCTCACTAAAAAGTGAGTACATTTCAACATTTTCAGCAAGAGAGCCAACTCTCTTGCAAGCTCCACCAGGAAGTCCACC